GCCTCCCAAAGTGCTGGGATTACAGGCTTGAGCCACCGCGCCCGGCAGAAATGTTTCAATGGCCTTAATCCTTTCCAGGAAGAAAACATGGACCCAAAGGGCATCAAACTGTTATTTCAAGAATGAAATCATTCTCTGCTTATAGGGAAAAACTGTGCGGGGTAAAAAGATGACAAGAGCTTGTTCCTCAAAACTACCATAGGCGGCCAGGCCCAGCGGCTCATGCCTGTAATTTCAGCACTTCAGGGCAGCTGAGGCCAGTGGATCACTTGATCCCAGGAGTTCTGGACCAGCCTGGGCAACAAAGCAAGACACTGTCTCTACAAATAATACCAAAAAAATTAGCTGGATTAATACAAAAAAAATTAGGTGGCGCGCCCCTGTGGTCCCAGCTACTTGGGAGGCTGAGGTGGGAGGATCACTTGAACCCAGGTCAAGGCTGCAGTGAGCCATGATTATGCACTCCAGCCTAGATGACAAAGCACGATCCTGTCTCTAAAAAAATGTTTTAAATATTTATTTTGGTATAATGTATGCCAAAATATAAAGAAAAACATTTTGACATGCTCTACATTGTTTGTCAGAGGGAATTTGTATAATCTGTTTTGTGCTGACAGTGGAAACGTGCTTCGAAGGAGAGACGGATCTTTTTCAGCACTTACCGCTCTTAAGTGTTTTGCATGTATTATGTCACCTCAACCTCTCAATATTCTGAGTAAGAAACATTCCCATTTACAAATGAAAAGAAAAATATTTAAGGCATCGAGTGGTTACATAATTTTCCCAAAATTACAGCACAGAAAATGAGGTTGCAACCCAGATTTGTCTTATTCTAGACTCATTCTTTAAAATTAGATGCTAAACTCTAAATGATATTTTTATCTACAATTATTAGTGGCAAATATAACACTGTCAAAGTTATTTTTGCTAAAGATGTAGATATGGTTCATGTATGACCACCAATAAATGATGAGAACCTTAAGTTAAAGTATTTGTCTTAGCTGGGCGTGGTGGCTCACGCTTGTAATCCCAGCACTTTGGGTGGCCGAGGTGGGCGGATCACGAGGTCAGGAGACTGAGACCATCCTGGCTAACACGGTGAAACCCCGTCTCTACTAAAAGATGCAAAAAAATTAGCCCGGCGTGGTGGCGGGCGCCTGTAGTCCCAGCAACTCGAGTGGCTGTGGCTAAACCCGGGAGGCAGAGCTTGCAGTGAGCGGAGAGCGTGCCACTGCACTCCAGCCTGGGCGACAGAGCGAGAC